GATCTCCCCCTCGGCCTCAACCCTGAGCGGTGGGTGGGGGCCCTAAATAACAATGAGGGGGTGCCTATTGACCTCTCCCCTGGCCCCCATCTCTAAGCAACGGGTGGGGGCCCTAAATAACAATAAGGGCTCCTATTGTACTCCCACCCGGCCCCCACCACTGAGCGGGGGGGGGGCCCTATATGAAAATGTGGGGGGGAACTATTGTCCTCCTGCCGGCCCCCACCCCTGAGCGGCAGGTGGGGGCCTTAAATAACAATAGGAGGGGCCTATTGATATCCCCCTCTGCCCTCACCCTTGAGCGACAGGTGGGGGCCCTAAATAACAATGAGGGGGGCCTATTGACTTTGAAAATAAAAAAGCAGAGCGCCAAAAAATTATCTGACAGAAAAAAAAAACTTGACGCTAAAAAAAGAATCCATCTTCACCCATGGAGAGCACCGCACAGACTGAGCTCCGCAGGGCGGGGAAAAGCTTATAAAGTCTTCCCACGACCTTGTAATTAGTCTCAGAGAGCTCTGATTGGTTGGTTGAAGCCAACCAATCAGAGTGCTCTGACAGGTAAATGAAGAGACTGACAGGTAAGTCTCTACATTTACCTGTCACAGCACTCTGATTGGTTGGCTTGAAATACAACCAGTCAGAGTGCTCTGTGTCATTTTATACAGCGTGGGAAAATTCTTTGGAATTTTCCCATGCTGTGTAATTTGACTCATAACAACACTCTGATTGGTTGCTTTCAATCAACCAATCAGAGTGTTGTTATGAGTCAAATTACATGGTGCAAAAGAGAACCACTCATTTAGACCCTTGCGTTGGTCTTAAAAATCTATCATAATAGCCTTACTTCTATAATGTTTTACAATTGCAGTGTTACAATTAAAAAGTGAAGTAATGTTGAATGACTGTTTGCCTTCACTGTCAGTTACTTTCTTCGAGTCACGCTTGATGAATTTACAGGCGACACATCGCCCGCACTTGAAGGAACCCACAAGGGGGGTAGTCGACCAGGTATGTGTGCTGGGTCGCTGGGGTTGAAAATTAATGGGGACCAAGAGGTTTTTAGATTTTTTTCCCATAGGGCTGTAATATTAACCTTTGGGCCAAGAATATGTTTTAGATGTGTGTCCTCTGTTAGAAGGTGCCAGAACTTTTGAATGCCTAGCTTGACTCAATCCCACCCAGCATCGTATGTTCATGCGTGGGGAGTTTATAGAAGTTTCAAGTGGATTATTACCAAGTAATGTGTTCCTATCGGCTCCCAAGGCTCTCTTGTATGCTGTATGCGTTTATTAGGATAGCCCTTATCTTTAAACTGCTGCCTTAGAATTTTTGCTTTATTCTTAAAATCATTGATGGTACTGAAGTTTCTGCCGTCCCTGTGGTATTGGCCGATGGGTATGCCCAAACCTCAGGGGCCTTGCATGGAAGCTATCCCAATATTGGAGGCTTTTGGAAACCGTAGGTTTTTTGTAAAGTGGGGTCTGAATAGTTCCTTGGTTTGTAATTGAGACAGTTAGGTCAAGGAAATTTAGAGTTCCACCTCCAAATTCCGAGGTGAATCTCAGGTTTAACTTCTTGTGATTCAAGAGAGTCACAAACAGATTGAAGTCCTCGAGAGTGACCTTCCACAAAATCAGGATATCGTCTATATACCTAGCCCATAGGTATATCATGGACTATATGAAGAAAATGAATCTGACGGGACGATAACCTCCTCCCACCACCCCAGGTGCAGATTGGCATATGATGGGGCACAAGCTGTCCCCATCAAAGTGCCCCGCACCTGGTGGTATAATTTGTCATTGAAGAGAAAATAATTGTGTGAAAGAACAAACTCGAGGAGCTCCAATATAAATTCAGAGTGAGGTTGCTAACTTGGTCCCCTTCTCTTCCAAGTAGTATTTTACGTGTTGAATGCCCCCTTCATGGGGTATGGAAGAATACAAGGATTCCACATCCAAGTTTCAAAGTGCTGCC